TCTATCTATCTATCTATCTATCTATCTATCTATCTATCTATCTATCTGTCTATCATCTATTTAAATCTATCATCTATCGTATCTATATCATCCATCTATCGTATCTATCATATCTATCGTATTTACCTACCTACCTACCTCTACCTACCTACCTATCTATTTAAATCTATCATCTATTGTATCAATTATCTATATCATCCATCTATCGTATCATATCTATCGTATCTACCTATCTACTTTCATCTATCTATCATACTTATCGTATCTATCTACCTACCTACATCTATCCTATCTATCTATCTATCATTTTTAATTTATGTTCTCAGATAATTTGCAATTCAAACCTGGCCGTAAATAGTAAATAAACATTAACGCATAACGCTTTAGTTTTAGAAATATGCCCTGTGCTTTTCAAAGTTTTGCACTGATGTGCAAAAGCTTTGCCCCAAATTAAAGTGGGAATGAAAGAAGTAGCTATATAAATCTTGTTTATTTTAAAGTAGTGTTCCTTTAGTGGTTTATTTTCAGAATTCCCTTCTCTTCCTAAATTACTTGAGTTAGTCACTAGTGAAAGATAAATGGGATCTCGCCTTTGGCCACGTTTTTGGGAAGGCTGCGAGCAAATGCGGTGCATTTAGAGTTTGCTTAATGGGTGTTGATGGGTTTGCAAGCCGTGGTTGAGGAATATACTCAATTGTGATTTATTCAGCAGGCCATGAAGCAGCTCCAGCTATGTATAGGATGAACCCTGCCAAGTCTTGTGTGGTTTTGGACCCGTGTCACAGGGATCAGTGCAACATTTTTTGGCTTTTTATTTTAACATCTGCTAGTTTTTCTGTTCGGCATAACAATTCACCTACCTGGATACAGCCCAGAGTCAAGGCAATAACACAAGAAGTTGGCCAACGGAATAAAATGGAGCTCAGAGGCCTCTTTCCCTACTTGACAGATTTTCAAGACAATGCCGCCCCTTTCAAAGCTGATTTACGTACTTTTATTTGTGAGCTAGGAGATCTAATTCTGACTTGGTTAACAACAATAGCTTTTATGTAGTCGAGAATGGAAAGGTAGTGGTGTAAATGTGCCAAAATTCAGGAAAAGCGTCTGGTGAGCGAGGCTGACATTTTCATTGTCTGGTTTTTTGGTTTTTGGGGTTTTTTGTTTTGCTGGCTGTCAACAAAGCATTTCTGGTAGAGAATTACAGGATGGGAAATGTCCCAGAGGAGGGGTTCTGTGCTTTTTCTGTTGGCATTTCGTGGCAAGTATTCCCCTGGAGTTTGACGTGGCTGGCACCTGGTGATAAGGAGGCAGGAAAGTTAAGGGCACAGCAGGATAAGGCTGACATGACGGGCTTGTTTTGAAGTTTTGCTTTTCTGCTCTGATCTAGAGATATGACGGCTTACTTTGGCTGACTTTGCTCCATCCGTCCAGCCATTATGGCTTTAATTCCCTCATTAAGTGGTCCTCATCTTACAACAGTTCATTTAATGTCCGGCGCTGGAAAAAAGTGCCTTATGACCGTTTTTCACACTTACGACCGCGGCCATCCTCATCAAAAACCAAATACTTGGCAACTGACTCATATTTATGACAGTTGCCATGTCCCCAGGTCATATAATCCCCTTTTGCTATGAGCAACGTCGACCGGGAAATCAGATTCACTTAACAATTGTGCCAAGAAAGTTTGTCAAATGGGGCAAAACTCATTTAAGAAATGTCTCACTTAGCAATGGAAATTTGGAGCTCAATTATGGTCCTAAGTTGAGGGCTACCTCAATTTCTGCTGGCTTGAAGGAACTGAGCATCAGATTTTGGCTGTATTTCTCTGCGAGGGCTCAGTGGCTGATCACATGTTGGGAAGAGTTAAGAGTGAATTTTTTCCCGTTGTGGTTTAGTAACCGAGCACAATTTAGTGCGACCCACGCATGCCCTTTCAGTGTGTTTTATCTTGCTTAAAATTCCTCTGTGGTGTTTATGTATATAGATATATATGGCTCTTACTACACCCACAGTTTATGAGGCAGCTCATAAATTATTCTGTGCAATATTTATTTGTGCAATGTACATGTCTCTGATTAAAATTCTCAACCCATGTCCCGTGTTTGCCGAACATGAATTATGACTTAACTGCTGGCTTGCTTTAGTGGAACTTGGAGGCTTGCTTGTGATTCAGTGCATGATAAAAACCACCAGTTTCAATATTGGCGGTGTGGAGAGTCAGATGAGGAGCAGGGGGGAAAAAAACATCCCATTAAGTGAATTTATTAAAAGCAAAGATTGTCCCTCTTTTTCCTTGTTAATCTATTTGTATACAGGGTAGTTCTCGACTTACGAAGACTCATTGAACCTCAAATTTCTGTTGCTGAGTTAAACAGTTGCCTGATTTTATGATCTTTCTTGCCACAATTGTAAAGTGAATTGCTGCAATTGCTAAGTAAATCTGGCTTCTCCCATTGATTTTGAAGGTTGCAAAAGGGGACCATGCGTGATCCTGGGAGACTGCAACCATTATAAATACGAGTCGGTTGCCATGGGGATGTTGCAGTGGTCGTAAGTGTGAAAAATGGTCCTAGGCCGTTGTAATTTCGAATGGTCATTAAATGAACGGTGGCAAGTCGAGGTTTTGCTTGATTGCTGAAGGGAGGGGCTAATGCAATTAAGAGGAAAGAGATCTCAACACCCAGAAGTAATGGATGGGAACCTCTCAAAGAGAGATCCAACCTAGAGCTAAAGAGAACCCCACCCCCCCGTCAGCATTGCTGAGAATTCTGGGAATTGGAGTCCACCCATCTGGAAGATGGTTGATAAACCCTGAAAACTTTCCAGAAATTCTGAAGTTCTAAGGAAGGAATATTTTTCTACGTGACGGATAAGAAAGCAAAATGAGGGAACATGGAAAATTGAATTGGACTTTACCAATAGGCATAAATAGAGACCACTGGAGTGGTGCAATGGCCTAGAGATTCTTGCCTCACAATCAGGAGGCTGTGAGTTCGATCCATTTCTCTCTCTGGGAATACTGAGAATATATCTGCTGGGGGAAAAAAACTCCCCATTGGCAACAGGAAGGGCATCTGGCCAGTAAACACTTTGCTAGCTCCATTCACTTGCCCATACTCCTCCCTACAAGGGAGTATGGGGTCGTTAGAAGAGGATGATGATGATGATAGAGACCGCTGTTCACCATTTAACCCAGCTCTCGAAACCTCCCGAGGGATAAGACTCATGATGTCTGGTTTGGCATTGCCCAAGAAGGAGGGTGTATTTGTGAGTCTGGCTCTGAGCCTCTCGTCCTCTTAAGCCATTTGGAGCCAGTGCTTCCTCTCCCGTGGTCCAAATCGCTTGAGTTTTGCAAGACAGTCCTGTCAACCGTGCCCCAGACTGTGCTTTTTCTCAATCCTGCTTTGCTTTGCCAACAGGGGGATCGTTGGCCAAGTTGGCTTATTACTCCACAGTGCAACATAAAGTGGCCCGGGTGCAGTCCTTCGATCAGTCGTGCAAGGTAAGACGCCTGTTTTCCCTTACTACTGGTAGGAATCTCAAAGCCTGAGAGATTTGCAGCAGGAAACGCCCGGGCTCAGGCGCCAACCAACATGTTAGGATGGCACAGGTGCCCAAATATGAGTGGTACGGTGGCCTAGGGGTGGAGTTCCCACCTCACAATCAGGAGGACTATGAGTTCAATCCTAAGTAGAGGCAGATATTTCTCACAATGAGAATATATCTGCTGCACAAAACTCCACACTGGCGACAGGAAACGCATTCGGCCAGTAAACACTCTGCTAGCTCCACTCAGCTCAAAGATGAACAAAGGGGTCCAAATATGATAGCAAAGGCCCCAAACCTCTGAGTTTTAAGAGTCTCCCCTCTACCAGTTCGCTAGTTTTCAACATTCTTGTTTAAAACCCAGTGGAATCTGGGCCAGCTGGCTGGGGGATTCTGGGAGTTGGAAGTCCAGATATCGTCAAGCTGCGGGGATCGAGTGTGGAAATCACCTTGCTTTCCCACCGTGCCAGAAGGTTGGCCCGGGGATCTCTTGAACCTTTTCTGTTTTGTCGATCCCCCCCAAGGACGTCGAACCCGAATCTCCGTACGAAATCACCGTCCAGGAGGAGATCACGGCCCGGCTGCATTTCATTAAATTCGAGAACACCTATATCGAAGCCTGCTTGGATTTCATCAAAGACCACCTGGTCAACACCGAAACGAAAGTGATCAAAGCCACGGGGGGTGGTGCATACAAATTCAAGGAACTTATTGAGAAGAAGCTGGGATTAAAGTAAGTGCGAGCGCCCAGGGAGACCCCCCCACCCCACCCCCGGGTCTTGTGCGATGGGTTTTTTGAGCCCTGGTGACTCCCCTGCCGGCCTTTTCACAGGAAGACATTGTTCCAGCCAACAAGTTTTAAGGGTGGAGGGAAGATCAGGGTGACAGAGTTGGAAGGGACTTTGGAGGCCTTCTAGTCCAACCCCCTGCCTAGGCAGGAAACCCTGCACCACCTCAGACAAAGGGTTATCCAATATCCTCTTAAAAACTTCCAGCATTGGAGCATTCCCCACTTCTGGTGGCAGGCTGTTCCCCTGGTTAATTGCTCTCAGTCAGGAAATTCCTCCTTAGTTCTAGGTTGCTTTTCTCCTTGGTGAATTTCCACCCGTTGCTTCTTATCCTGCCTCTTCAGGTGCTTTGGGGAATAGCTTGACTCCTTCTTCTTTGGGGCAGTCCCTGAGAGATTGGGACACTGCTACCAAGTCACCCCTGGTCCTTCTTTTCCTCCTTTTCAGCAGTTAGGCCCCTCAAAGCCTTCTGCAGGTGGTCCTTGAGTTATGACCATAATTGAAGTGTACTGTAGTAAACCGTGGTCACCCGCCCACCAACCCAAATTTTAACCACTTTTTCCGTGGTAGTCTTGAAGCCGATAAGCAGCCACTGCGGCCGTTAAACAAAGCCAGGGTTTGCTATGGGCAAAACCACTGTAAAACGTGGCCCCCGTGGTCACATTTTGTGATCGCAGTCTGAGCCTCTCGTCCTCTTGAGACTGCTTGCAATGGACTTTCAAATCCAGGTTGTAAGTATCCCCCCCCCACTCCCCAGTTGTGTCTGTCATAACTTCGAACAGTCGTTAAACAACCAGTCATAACTCAAGGGTCACCTGTATATCTTTTTTTTTTTGAAAATAAGAAATAGCAGGCAGGTAATGGTTGCATAATTAAGATCAGTATTAAGGGTTTGATCAAATAATTGACGTGAAGGAAAGCGCTCTAGAGTCTTTGCCTTCCCCGCCTCCACCAGGCTTTCAAATCTCACCCGCAATTCTGCCATAAATGATCACCCCTGCCCCACATTAAAAGAAGCCCAGTTTCCTCCTCTTGCTTAAACCAACATGGTTAACCAGCTCACTCAACAGAAGGCCTTCCAACCGTGGGCTGCGCTACGCAGGCATCCTGGAGTTCTACTCCTAGGGAGCCGTAAGAGCTAAGGAAATCGATCGAGCGTTTCCCATTTTGCGGATGATTTTTCATCGCCCGGTGGGTTAAAGGGGGGATTTGTGTAGACCAAAACTCCCCAATTTCACCAGACTTTCCTGCCTTGAGCCCTCCCAGTCCCCTCTGGGGAGGGAGAGGCTGTCTGATGAAAGCAGTTGGGTGAAAGGGTTGTAAAAGGCCCCCCCCCCCTCGTCTTCCTCGCTTGTGAAAACAGCCAAGCAAAATCGAATATTTTTCGGTCAATTTTTTTATCAACGTTGCAGGCGCCAAGAATCAGTGCTGGAATGAAGCCAGAATAAGCGAAGGGAGTTGAAGTCCATCCATCTTAAAACTGCCAAGCGTGAGAAGGGCTCCTCTAAATCTATATTCCCAACCAGGCCTTGGGTCTTTGGGGGTACATAGGGGACCTCCCCATCTACAAACCCTCCTTCAGAGCATTGGCTGCAGCTAGGAAAATTTTATATTTTTTGCGGTGGTGGGGAGAAAAGCTCCACAGTACTTTCATGAGCTGGTTCCACAGCTATTAACAGCCCTCTTGTTTTCCTCACCTGGGTTTCCTGGTAGATTAGATAAAGAAGACGTGATGACCTGTCTCATTAAGGGGTGCAATTTTGTCCTGAAGAACATCCCCCATGAGGCCTTTGTCTACCTGAAGGATGCCGACCCCGAGTTCAGGTTTCAGATGAACCATCCTCACATTTTCCCTTACTTGCTGGTTAATATTGGCTCTGGAGTTTCGATCGTCAAGGTGAGAGGACCGTTGTTTTAATCGACATAACAGGTAACCCTTGACCACAGTGGGGCCCCAAACGTTTGTTGTGAAGTGGAACATTCGTTAAAGTGAGTTTTGCCCCATGGGGCGGCTTTTCCCTGCCACGGTGGTTGTTAAGCGGATCCTGGCAGCCTAGCCCGGTCGTAAAAGGGCATCGCTGGGACACTGCAACCACCGTAAGCGCGAGTCAGTTGCCAGGCGTCCAAATTTTGATCACAAAACCGTCAGGGTGCCCCAATAGAATAAGAATAGATCCGCTTGCCCATTCGACCCCAGGCTGCTCCGCCCTTATGGACCTAAATAGATTTAGGCAAGAATCTGCTCCTTTGATAGGTGGAAACGGAAGATAAATTCGAGTGGATTGGCGGAAGTTCCATCGGAGGCGGGACGTTCTGGGGCCTCGGAGCATTGCTTACCAAAACCAAGGTAATATTCCTGCCTAGCAGTTCAGCATTTGAGTGATGGATTAGATTAATTGCATATCTGTGTGTGTGTGTGTGTGTGTGTGTGTGTGTAGAGGATATGTAGGAGAAACAGAGAGAATGGGGTAGAAATCTGAGCCAAAACCCAATTGCTTCTGTGTTGCTGGGAGAATTCCACGCCTAAACCCCAAGACTTAACTTTCCAGTGGTTCTCATCCTGCATTTTAGAAAGCTAGCTCATCAGGAAAGGGAGAGTCAAGAGTCAAGAATCATAAAATACAACACTTAATGATAGTCATAGAGTACAATAAGCCATCAAATCCCACTAGGAAACAGTCAATATAAATCGTAAGGATACAAGCGACAAAGTTACAGTCGTACAGTCCCAAGCGGGAGGAAGATGGATGATAAGGAGTGATGAGAAGATTAACAGTAATGGTAGTGCAGGCTTGGTAAATAGCTGAATAATTGATTTCATGACATAAATGAGAAAATAAAAAAAAAGAAAACAGGCTGGCCTCAAGAAATATCCCTCCTCTGACAAACTTTGGGGGTTTTCTCTCTCTTTTTTTTTAGAAGTTTGATGAATTGCTGCAGCTTGCTTCAAAGGGCCAACACACCAACGTCGACATGCTGGTGAAGGACATCTACGGCGGGGCGTATCAAACCCTCGGGCTTAGCGGGAACCTGATCGCCAGCAGCTTTGGAAAATCTGCCACGGTGGATAAAGGTAGGGTTTGCCGACATTTTATTCTTCGGTCCACCCAAACCCGGCGGTGTCTGTAAAGGGGTTGCCTCGCCCTGCCCGTTAAAATTAAGGGCCTCTGTTATTATTTTTGTCATTCTCCAGGTCAGCGGCCAAGTCCAAATCTCACGGCCCTTCTTTGATTCTCTTCCCACCCACCCCCCCGAATCTCCTTCCGAATAAAATCTAGCCCCCTTCCATGAATTGAGTCGCGTGGTGGTGGCTGGGGGACCTGATCTCCCCACCCTTCTTCTCTTGTGCCCTTCTCAGATTTTTCCAAAGAAGATATGGCCAAAAGTTTGCTGCACATGATCAGCAACGATATCGGGCAGCTGGCTTGCCTGCACGCCAAGCTCCACAACCTGGACAAAATCTACTTTGGCGGCTTCTTCATCCGAGGTCACCCCGTCACCATGCGAACCATCACTTACAGTATTAACTTCTTCTCCAAGGTAGCGGGGAATTCAGTCAGAAATCTTCTCGCAGGTTGGCCGGCTGGGGCGGGGCGGGGCGAGCGCAGGGCAAAGTGACGAATGGGAGGGTATAGTTTTGTTTTCTGTGCCTGGATGGGGGAGTTGTGTGGCGTGGAAGTAGACCTCTGTAAAGATATTTAGACTAATCAACTGATGTGTGGTCCTTGGTGCTCTCTAAGCTTGTTGGTGTTTTTTTTCTTTCATTTTGCAGACATCTCATCACCATAATAGGTAATATTATCAGTGTTAGAAGGGGGAGAGAGAGCAAACTTTTCCCTTGTGTCACTGATGATGATACCTAGTTTGGTAATGAAACGTTTGCAAGGAAACCCCCAAGTTCAGACAGCGTCAAGGACCCCACAGTCCTCCTCCTCTCCACAACCTCTCTCCCTTCGAACACGGATGATGTTACCTAGTTTGGTAATGAAATGTCCGCAGGAAGAAAAAAAAAACCCAAGTTCAGAGAGCAACCCTGAGCTACAAATACTCTTCCATCGCTAAAAATAAATGTCGCTTTTTCCCCGTTGCATTAAATTTCTCCATGGGAGTGGCGCGGTGGCCTAGAGGCGGAGGTCTCGCCTCACAGTCAGGAGGCTGTGAGTTCAATCCTAGGTAGAGGCAGATCTTTCTCTCTCGGGAAACAATGGGAATATATCTTCTGGGGGGGAAAAAAACTCCGCTCTGGGATCAGGAAGGGCATCCGGCCATTAAAATGCTCTGCCAGCTCCACTCAGTTGCCCAAGTTCCACCCCGCAAGGGATTATGGGGTCGTTAAACGATGATTAAATTTCTCCGTGTCAGAGGAAGAACTTAAAGAGGCCTTTAGTAATTGCTGAGAAAGGAACACCGTCGTTTTCCTTTCCTGTCCCATTTCCGTTGCAGAGCCTTCCTTGGTTTTTGTTTTTTTTATTCTTTTACCCTAAATGTGGAAAAAGGGCAAGTTTGTGCCGTCCACCCCAACAGGGTCACCCTCCTCAGGGTTTTGGTCTGAAGCAGCCTCCGTGCCTTTTGCTCAGCGTTGTAAATGTAGGGCAGCTACTCCTCGGGGGTTCCTGCCAACACCGTGTTTCGTATTACGGCAGGGCGAAGTCCAGGCCTTGTTTCTGAGGCATGAAGGCTACCTGGGAGCCATAGGTGCTTTCTTAAAAGGAGCAGAGGAAGACAGTAAGTACAGCCCCTCCCTCCCCTGGGCCCCCTCGCACCCCACAAAGCTAGACAAGCAACCCAAATTCTGGGGTATTTGCGGCTCCCGTTTTGATCCAGGGCCCCGCGAGGCTTCTCCTTTGGGGTTGCGTTGGGAGTTGTGTTCAATTTCTGGTGGAAAAAGAAACCTCGTGGTTCGGTTCATTCTCTCGGTTCTGAAATCTATTTCTGAAACAAGAATCCAGCTTTGAAGCGGGTCTGGATGTGTGACTGGGAGTCGCCTTCGTCCCATTCAGTGTTCTGTCTCCCTGAAAGATACGAGAATTAAAAACGCCGATAACTTTAAAAAATATAAAAATAAAAACAGAACCGCCTTGGCATAGGCTGGAATATCTTATATTTCCCCCCCTTCTCTCTTTCTTTCTCTCTCTTCTTCCCCTTCCTGCAAACAAGATCCCAATTTATACAGCTGGGGAGAGAACTACGCCAGCAGTTCGGGCCTTCTGAGCACGTCGCCCGACGTTTGCCCCATGCAGCGGGAACGAAGTGGCACCGTGAGTCTTCCCGGCATAGTAAAAAAAAAAAAGCACCGCCTCGATCCCACTCCCCTAAATATAGCTCTCCCCCCTCCTCCTCCCAGTTTGGTGGTTTCTAGTCAGGATGAGTCCTGCCTAGAACAATGGAAAACGGCCGGCCAGAACCTTCTGGCTCTTTGGACAGGAAACATCTGCCTTCTGAGCAAGAAAATCTCAGCATCCCGCAGGGTTTTTTTCCCTACCCTGTTTCCCCGAAAATACGACCGACCCTGAAAGTTAGTCCCAGCTTGATTTTTTTACACATTTTTTTACACCAATATGAGCCCTAACCAAGATCCCACCCGCTCCAGAGTGGACAGGTAAAACTTAAGCCAGGGTGGGGATGGAGGAGGCAGAGCTACCCTTCTGCTTCCCTTTGGGCAGGTGTAGCCAGGCCTCGCACACCCCGACACCTGCCTGGCCGGCCCATTTCTTCTGAGTCTGGCCAGGCTTCCCTGAAGGCCTCTGGAGCTGAGGACAAAGCTCTGGATCGATCCAGAGCTCAGTTATTGGCTCCAGAGGCCTTGCTGGCTGCAGAAGAAGTAGTTCCTGAAGGCCTCCGACGGCGGAAAGGAGGCCGGGGAAAACAATGTTTTATTTTTGCAAGATGCTTTGCGCGGCACACAGAAGGGAGGGCCCCGTTTGGCTTGAGATTTGGGGGAGGAAGGGAAACCAGGCACGGCTGCAAGGTTCTATTTATTTATTTTTATTTGTATCCCGCCTTTATTTCTTTTTATGAGTAACTCAAGGTGGGGAACATAACTAATCCTCCTCTTTTCTCCTCTGATCTTCCCCACAACAACCCCCCCTGGGAGGGCTGGGCCGAGAGGGAGAGCGACTGGGCCGAGGGCACCAGCCGGATTCCATACCCAAGGCGGGACTAGAACTCCCAGTCTCCTAGTGATCGGCCCAAAGGTACCCAGCCGGCTTTCAGGCCTAAGGCAGGACTAGAACTCCCAGCCTCCTGGTTTCTAGCCTGGTGCTTTAACCACTAGACTGTCTCTCTTGAACTCTTAATACCTTTTCCGTTAAAGGGGAGCAAAGTTTGAGTCTTCCAACTGAGAGCAAATGAAACTTTGCAGAAGCCAATATTCATATTTTTATCCTTTCATTTTTTTGTAACATGGACACATCCTCCTGCATTGTAGTTTTCCGCCGCTGTTATAATGCCTGCAAAAGCACAGATTCTTTTCCCCCCCAGGATCCTCTTTGGATGCACTGATTTTGAAATAAAGATAGACAGACAGACAGATG